GGATGTTACTACTGCACTCAGCATCCTCTCAGCAAGCACCTGAGAGCAGCAAAGTGCTGCCTGCTCCTCCCTTCTGTCAGTGCTGCCTCTAAAGCAGATGTTGTCTGCTGTATTTTGGAGCCTGCTATAATTTGATCAAATCCATAGAAGATCATGCCAAAAAGTGACAGCTAGTCAATGGATGGTATCATCCTTAACTTGTTATCTGTCTGGGGCCTGCTGCAATCAATGCTTTTGTGCCAAGTTCCAAACCTTTAGAGCCAGATCAAAACACAACATTTCTACAGGGGACACTTCTGTCTCCTTTTCAAGTTCATGTCAAAGCAGCCTTCACAAAGCACCTGGGTGCTTTCTGGGCATAACTGCTGAAAGCACAAAAAATATTTTAATTCATATTCCTTGGTAAAAAAAGCATTAAGGTATCACAGCTCCAAACCTAAATTTACTCTCAGGCCTAACCAAGTCTTTTTGGCTGATTTTCCTTTAGGACACAATTATGACGGAAAACACAGCAACCTGAAAATTTGCTTTTAATTTCCATTGTATGAATACTTTGTACATATAATTCAGAACATCAGTATGGGAATATTGAATGGTGGTGAAAAATCCAATAGTATTTGCTCAAGTTGAAAAGTGATTTTAGATTTGATGTTTGAAATCTCTCTATATTCCTCTTTAGCAGAGCTTTGATCTCTTAAATCCTACCATTTTGGCTGTTTGCACCTACATGCTACAATATGCTGCTCATATACTGGTGCAAGAGAAATTTAGACTTGGTTATCCAATGATAAAGTTTGTAATTCACATTATGTGTTGTCAATTATACAGCCCCAGTCAGCTGTATTTGGGAACAGGAAACAACACTACATTAATTCTATATCTGGCCTTTCCCCCATCAGCTCTTGCTTTTGTCCAGTGCACAAAGGGAGGATTCCTGTGAGGTCAAGCAGCAGAACAGCCCTCAGCCATCACTGCTCTGCTCTTTCTTCTGATGCTTGCAAGAGCTTGACTTTGCTGGCTCGGGCTTGGAGCTATTGGCTTTTGCTTCCAAGAGGAGTGGGTGACACCAACAGCCATCCATGGGGAGCAGAGCTATCTGTCCTTGCCTGCTTCCCGACTTTCTTTAATCAAATATTAATTGGGTGCAGTCACTTACTTCACTACTCACAAACAGTAAGTGAAAAAATTGAATCTTTCATGCTTTGGGGATGCTTTTCTATGCTTTTGGCATAAAGACTGATCTGCTTGTGTGGAAGCTTGCAAGCAAAGAAAATTGTATTGGTAATAGTGATTATTATTTACAGAAACTACATAAATCAGATTTACTTGAGTAAGTTCATTTTTTCATGTAACAAATTAAAGAACTGAATTGCAGAATTCACACAGAAAATTGTGGAGCAAAAATATCAGATCCTGCATAGTTTAGAGCTAACAAACCTACTATTTACTGATGAAGTCCAGAGGAAAAAAACCTACCTGGTTTTCATGAGGTATACTAAAGCTTTGAAACCTTAATTTTGGAATGCTTTTCTTTTATCATTCCCAGAGTTTGAGACTCAAATAAGGAACTTAGAAATCTACCTGGCAATTCAGTATCAGAAAGAGTCTTTTTTCAAAACTAAAACCACAAAAGGAAACATTTCCTGACAAATCTGCACCAATTTCAAATCAACCATGTTCATGACTCATACTTCATCTTCATAAACTTTAAAATTATCTACTCTGCAGTGATGAAAATCTGTGAACAGCAATTTGAAGCTGAAATATTTGCTGAAAGTGGATTTCAAGACTTTAAATTTTTTAGTTGTCAGTCATTCAGACACAAGAAGTAATACAACTCATTTGGGAAACAAGACTGTGGTTTCTTCCAATGAATTTCATGCACTGAGTGCTCTTTTTATATAGGAAAGGAACATTAGACCTTCTCATCCATCACACTCAATAGGGCTGGTAGTTAAATGCTACAATTCATACCCTAAACAGTGTAGATTCTTGATCAAGCTTGCCAAGACCTATTCTGCAACTTAAAAATGTTCCCTTGACTCTCCTTAGAAATTTAAACAACACTTGGCATATTTGAATATATTTCCTTCTGCTTATTGACTTTATATTCCCCTTATCAAGATAATAAAATTTCCTCAGAAGTTGCCTTGGGCATTTCTGCAAGGTCAGAAGCATACAATGCACAGACAGGAATAAACCTACTTTAAATTACTGCATCCACTCATGCTCCAGTGGCTCTGCAACCCTGATGGCAACAAATGAAGTCTGGTGTGCTGGGAGCACAGCACTTTGAAAGCACAGAAAGGGTATGGTCAGACAGAGCCCTGACAGGCTGTTAAACATTTACCACCCTGCCTGAGCACCTCCACCACTAACAGAGACCAAACAGCAGTCACAGAGCGATGGGAGAAGCTTACAGAACCATATTATTGCAACCACAAATTCACACCTGCCAAGAGACAGCCCAGCGATTGCACTGCGTTGGTGTTTTGAAAGAATGAACAGCACATTCAAGGCAAGAATCTCTCCACTTGCCAGGAGCTTCTGAAGAACTGAAACAGTTTGTTTCTTATCTGAACTTATTTAGGGTGGGTTTTTTGGAAGCTTCTTTTGGTCTAAAAATAAGTTCTGCTTGATGAGGACTCAACTTTCTATCGCAAAGAGGTACCTGAGAACCACCAGCAGACAAGGTCCTGTGCCTTAAATAATTTCTGTCACTGAGAGACAGAAATCACTAGAATTTCTAGTCCTTTACTTTTGTTGAAATTATAGCCTTATTCATTTTACAGTACTAAATCAGAGGGCATACACACTCTGTAGGGCAACTAACCGCAGGGCAGTTTATAGCTCAACCTCTGTCTCTGGGTAGCCAAGTTGAAAATCAGCAGCTATCACAGAAGCATATTGTAAATCTGGGATGCTACTGTGAATTATGAAGCATATCAAGTGTTTGGATAAATCAAAGGAATCTAAATGGCTTAAACCAGCAAAAAGTAAAAGCATTAGGGCTTGTCTTCTTTGCCAAAATCTTCCATTAGTACCTTCACAGAGACCTGTTTTCTACCTCTCAGACACTGATTCAAAATTCCATTTAAGAAAATGAAGAACATGATCCTGCCATCTCCTCAAAGATTTAACTTTATGGTAGAAAGATTTTATTGTTGTTACTTGCCATTAAAGGTAATAATTCTGGTGTAGTTTTCTTTTGCTTGCATTTGTGCTATTTTATTAGTGTCTCCATAGCAGCAGTTAGCATTGCAAAAGGAATTCCAATTTTTAACATGATTATTAGTCTTCATTTTCATCCTCAAAGCTGGGATGTTTTCGAAGCAGCTCAGGGAGGAGGAAGGAATAAGACTCAGACACCACAGTCCATTGTTACCTCTGAGCACATACACTTAGATTGCTTTCCTTTGATGCTGCTGCCAATTTTATTCACAAGCGTATAAAAAAAAGGTCATGACATTTAGAATTACACTACTTTGGAAATTAAATGTTCCTTTAAGTTTTTAATTTCTGAAAGTAATTCATCATGGAATAATATTTGAATATGGTTGAATGAATGTGTAAAGATTAATGCAAACTGTCTTCAAACTGCAAGTTCACAACCACATATGTTTAACCTTGTTGTGTAATACGCATAAAAATGTTGATATGTGAGCTTGAAGAGCTGCATTTCCATTTTGCTGGAAGCATTTGCACTGTTATTCTCCTTAGTATTTTTCCATTGGCATGTCTGTATAAGGCATGAGGTTTAGCTCTCAATCATTTTCTACTTAACATTACACTTCACAAACCTGGCAACTAAACAAGGAGCAAAAATGAATCACAATGGTCTGCAGAGTTTTTTCAGAGTTTTATGTGAGAAATCAAACTACTGATCTTTAGGCTAATTCAGCAATATTAATGATATTATTGTAGCATATGAGAAAATAAAATAATTTTGTGTGAACATGTGAGAAAGCACTAAGATACCACATAACCAACATTAATAATAGTAATAATAGTAATAATAATAGTAATAGTAGTAGTAGTAGTAGTAGTAATAATAATAATAATAATAATAATAATAATAATAATAATAATAATAACATCCTTGTCACCAGGGCAATGGCAGGAGCATTGCTAGTTCAAGTCTGGCCTCTTGAAAAGCCCTCAGGAAAGTTGCTCTGCAGATCACCCAATTCATTAAATTAATGCTTTGTTGGCTGGAGTTAAAGTTTGAGTCAGGCAAAACAAAAGCCTGGGTTTCAGAATACATATACCCTGTCAAATTGCATTTATCAAGATAAGGGTTATTAGAATCTTTTTTCTCTTGTGTGAATGAAATTGTAAGCTTGAAATGTCACTGAAGATTTATTAATCTGATACTCCTTCTGATAAGGGCAAAGAAATAGAAAGGGCAGAGAAAAAGAAATATTTCTTGTAGCCTGATAAGGACTACAAGAAATAGAAAATATGAATAAGGCAATTTATCAGTGGGCATTCTGTAACTAAAAGACTCAAGCCACACAAAGCGATAGTACAGTTATATATTGATTTCAGAACACTGCCATCTACAACACTTGGTCAAAGTTTGAGAGCTGTGCAGAAAAATGTCTGCAGTTTTCAAAAAATGATAGTAAACCTGAATTTTCAAACTGTAGGCTGGAGTAACACTTCTAGAAAGTAGATGGAGACCTAAAGAATATTTTCTTTTCTACTTTCTTTTACAATTTTTCAATATTTCCATTTGAAATATTTTCATTTAAAATATTTCAGTTAATTAGCCAGAACTTAGTTTTCCTATGATACTTTCTCAAGTAGGAGTTAGTTTTGCAGCAATTAAGGTATTTGGAAGCACTACCTGTTTTGAAAATGATTAGTTGTACCATACCTCTTTCTCAGAATGCCTTACATAGAAAAGATGCCAGTTAAGAAAAGTCTTTCTTACATTTTTATAAGAACATAGCAGGAGCCAAATCATCTGCCATGATTTCATTAACAGTTCAACTTACCAGTTTTCTCTGTCTTGTGTTTTGAACTTTCAGGTCCTGGCAGGCAGGGGCAGGGCCCTTCACATCGAGCTGTGATGGTTTTGCCAGAAGTACAGGCATGGAACTCCATCTTGCACTACAAGCATAAAAAAAGAGCAAGGATACTATTTAGGACAAGATATAAAATAGCAGATGTCAATTAAATGAGAAATTGTGTTATCATTAATGACATTGGATAGATTGAAAAACTTCAGTCTCTACTGCAAATACTTTTATAAGATTACACTGACTATTCCTAGCCTTTGTTGTTTGCATTACCTACATTTTAGTTCTGAATTTCCTCCAAGAGCTTTGTGCCTGTGTAGTTGCCCTTTGCTCAGTGACTGCCCCGTGGGTATTTCCCCATTCTGTGTCCAGCAGCACCAGTGGCTGGACACTGGACTAATGCAGTAATAAAAGGAAGTGAAAGAAAACAGCACAGAGACACAAATGTTCCCTTTGGCTCAATACCTAGTGAACCAAATTCAGCTCCATTTTTTGTCCTCTTCAAGCCCTGCTTTTACAAGACCAGAATCCAAGGGCTTTTGATACACAGGGGAGTGTTGTCTGTGGTGCCCAGGCTGGAGCTCCTCCCTGCAGGGACTGCCCCCTGCCAAGGAAAATGGGAATCCAGGGCTGCAAAATCCCTTTGATCTGAGTTTTATTGAAGATTATGATTCCTTTAAAAGCAGCCCAACATGCTTACAGTTGGACAGGACGTGTTTTGACACAGCTGAAGGACACAGAGCCTGGACCATGGTGATACCATGGAGGATGCAGTGAGCAACTGGAGCTCACTGGGCAGCAGCCACTGCTGAAACCCAGAGCATCATCCTCTGCAATTCTGGTACAGGGGGAGCCAAGAGAACGGAGCAGGTTGTTGTTACAAGATAAACACCTCCTGCTTTGAAAGTACTGCAAATGCCTTGGCTTTGCCTGTGTTTATTTTTGTTAGAAGGGCTCATGGTGGCCCAAGCTTTAATCTAGCAGCAGGGGACCATTATGCTGTGTCTACATCCCATTCTGTTGACATTATCCCCCCACCATCCTGAGCTTCAATGCATCAGGGTGATTCTGTGCTCTCTGTGATGTCCTGCCCTTCTCATTTAGAAAATGCAGGGCCACACACAAGCTTGCAAGTGTGCAAGCTTGGCTTGTACTTTACACCAATTTTCCCCAAGACTGAAGGGAATATATGTACTTATTTTTCAACTGTTTGCTCCATAAATACACTTTGCTCAGAGCACAAAGACAAGAGAGAGCACATCAGAAGGAAAGGGAACAGGAGAAAGGACAACACTGAGTGCACTCCTGAAGGCAATGACTTTCTGCAGCATATTTTGATAGTCAATGTGTTATTGAGAACACAGGCATAAATCTTCTTCCTGCAGATGGAGTTGATCATTTAATCCCTTACAGAACATCAATTACTTACATATTTTATTATGCATAATAAATGTAAATTATGTATCTAAGCATTAGCAATTATACTTCAAATACCAACCTTTAAGATGGCACCAGCCTATTTCAAGCCTGTGCAGTTAAGAAAGGAAGAATTTTTTACTAAGAGACATCAAGGCAAGTTTTTCCTCAGCTATCCAGACAATTGATAAAAATGACACCCAAAAAGCTAAACACAAACCAAAAAAAGAAGCTGCTTAAATGGTTTGTATTATCTGAGGGCAAGGAGGAGAGCCCAGCTTGAAGATCACAATGCTGCAGTCATTAATCACATGTGAGTAAGATTACACCCATGATTAACCACACAATACTCCCACCGTGCTTGTTTGGGATGTTTGGTGTTGAGGGATGAAGATTAAAGAATTCCATCATTTTAAATATTAAATTAGGATAATACTAACTGCTTTTCAACACCTAATCACTGTATGTAGCTCTTCACTCCTTCCCTAGAGGAAAACATGGAGATCTCTTACTTTGCATGTGATGATGTGCTTACTCACTGTAACAACCTACACAAGTGGCTCAACTTTGGATTTAATGACCTTGCCTAAGCCTCACTAAGTGATATTCAGAGGCAGAGTGGCCACAGAGGATGTCTTGTGGAGCAATAATGACTTTTTGGATTATTCTGCCACTGGATCTACAGCATATAAGGAGCCTGCTGGCTTTCTCCAGACCATGGGCAATAAAATGATACACTGTGCTTGGAAACACTCTCAGTCTTTCACACCAAAGGGACATTATACATTTTGCAGACATGAGTCACAAAGCTCCTTGCAGTGATTGTGCACAGCATTCCGTGGGAGCAGCCCCACAGTTTGGGGCCAGTCCCTCTCATTTCAGGGGACTCATTTTGCCACTGATATGATTGGAAATGCCTCAACTCTCTGCTGAGCTGCTCTAGTAGAGCTCCCTAGGTTGTGAAAGCTTTGTATTTTTCTGCAGACTCCCTGGTGTGTGAACTGCATTTGTTTACTCTGAACCGCAAGGCCCACATAAACATCTCTAAACTATTTTACTGCAAATGGAAAAGCAGCTCTGTTATTTGTTGCTAAATGTATATGGAGATCAATAAAGTATATGAGGGGAGAAATGGTTGAACATATTCATGGAAAATTCATAAATTAATTTATTCAACGAAGATGTGGGAAATTACTGCAGAGTGTGTTTTGGTTAAAGTGTTCCCCTGAGAATCCACTACTCGTATAATGATTCCCTCCTTATTGTCAGTGAATCTACAGCAATGTGTTTTGCATAAGCATTCACATTTGAGGGAGAAAGGAAATAGCTACATAAAATTTATTCCTAGCTATTTTATTCTTGTCTGTTAGTCTCCAGCCTCCAGTCCCTACTAGAGGAGAATCTAGATTTTTTTTTTTTTTTAATGATATAATAAAACAGTGAATCTCTGCCTTTATTCTGCCTTTCAACTTCTGGCAGTCAGGTTTTCATCTAACCTGCAAGTAAGTAATTCTGTGGAAAAAGTTCCTGTGATCTTTTCTGCAAGGGTGTGTATTTGACTACTGAATGTGTTCATGGATAGCTTATACAGCCCAGTGCATTAATGCTGTGAAGAGCTTTGCATCCTGACACAAGCAGCACATGGATTTACTTACAACACAGCCAGGTACAGCAGCACATCCCAGCCCTGTTGCACCTTTCAGTGGCAAAGCAGAGTGATTGAGATGTAACAGGATGGCCCAGGGGGCCTGGGACATTTTGTGTGATTGATTCACAAGCCAAAAATCAATAATTGAAAATTTCTTGTAGTCATGCTAACACAGGAGAAAGTGCTAGGTTCCAAACTTCTGTTGCTTCTATCGTTAATTTAATATGAATTAACCAGGAGGGTATTAGGAATTAGCAGACAATATACATGACAAAGATAAACATGAAGTCTCATTTGAGGAAGAGTGAGCACTGAAACAGGAGGTTAAATTTTATAGTATACTAATTAGCATAAAACTCCTGTGATATTACATCATATTAATGGCAGTGTCTCTAAACCTGTTGTTGAACAGTGCTCTTGCCTGGAAGACACTGCATTTTTATCACCCTACAGCTTTTTACATTTTCACCAAGAATGATTTCAGTGCAGAGTTTGTTTTATGGTGCATCTTTTGTTCACTCACAATATGTCTCTTTGAAACTACACATACAAATAACAAAAGCTCATTATTTTCTACCTTAACTTTTACCCAGTGGCTGCCACAGGCAGAAGGTAAAATTTCCTAAAATTATAGCATGTATATATTTTTAGTCCAGAGTTTCTTGATATCAGTAGTGTTCCCTACCTATCTGTCTTAGCAGATAATTAGAATCCATTGGAATTCAGACACCCCTTTGAGAGGGGTTGTTTGTTTACAAGCTTTAGAGCTGTGCTTGGCATTGCTTCCTTAGCTGGGACTCTTATCACCATTTTCTTTATAAGCCTCTCCTTCCAGTTTTCATCAGATGGAAAACAAAATACAGTATTTGGAACACACTCAGATCAAATGTGTTTTTTTAAAAAAACTTGTCACAATAAAATGGTTCAGTATCTTTTCTACAAATCCCAAAAGAAATGTCAGATGGTACACAACCATTGCTGAACATATACATTAAGTTTTAATGGGAATTCTCCAAACTTTTCAGGCTCTGTAAAAACTGAAATCCTGAAATAAGGATTGAGAGACAGCAGTCAATCACATGAATTCGTGTTCATTAAAAAATCAGACACTAATGTGAAGTCTGGAGGTGAGTCTCAGCTCAGATTCTGGGCTGAGGACAGGGCTGTGTGGTCCCTGAGCACTTCACCTCCCTGCCCTGGGTTCTGCTGCCTTTTTGCTGCTCTGCAAACCAGAGCCTCCCTGTCCTGTGCCCTGGGACACAGCACCTCATGGGGGCACTGAAAATATGGGCCAAGCTCTGTCCCCAGGACTGGCCCCTTGGGCAGGCTGTCTGGTGCCATTAGGGGCTGTTCCATGGCCAGACCAACACTTGGTGGCTGCTGCAGTCATCTCATTTCTCTGGGCACCCTTCTGCTCACAGCACAGCTCCCCACTGCCAGGCCCCCTGCCCTGCACATGCACTGCTCCAGGATGGGATTGGCTTGTGCTACTGCAACAAAAATTAAAGGGAGGCTGGTGGAAAAAATAATTATAATAAAAACACCATTTTATCTTCTTACAACAGCTACCAGGCGAGCACACTTAATCTTTGCAATAAAAGCTGTACAAAGATATCTTAAAATCCTGGAGCTCTAATTAGGAGCTATGTTCTCCTTATGAGAATACATAGTTGGTGTTGATATTAATGGGAGTTATGCATGCATACCAGTGGTGGAATAAACTCTAATTAACACAACCAATCTATTGTGTAAATACATATTAAAGGCTTTTAAAAATGTGTGCTAGCTCTAGCTTTGAAGCAGATGTTATAGCTGATGGGCTCAGAAATTCCCCTCTCTGCAAGGAGTGACATGAAGAACCTTGTTATGTCTCAGGTAAACAACAAATATTTGAGAATGTCTCTCACTGCACAAGTAGCTGACAGGCTGGTGGTTCATAATCTGCTAGAAAAAGAGAACAGCATCCAGGTGAGGGTCAAGAAGAGAGAGACCCAGGCGCCAGGCCACTGATATTAAAGGGGCTGAAC